CCCCACAAGGGGGAACCCTGTTTTTGGGTCAGGGGTCAGATTTAGGGCTAAGGTATGAATTGAGTTTTGGTTAGGGTTAGGAAAAGGGTAAAGGTAAGGTTTAGGCTGTAGAAATGAATGGAAGTCAATGGAAAGTCTCCTCAAAGACAGCGAGACAAACGTGTGTGTCTGTGTGTGCGTGTGTGTGTAATACAATGTGGAAACCATTTTCCTGACACATACTACATTGTGGGGACCCACTGCTCCTTGTGGTCCCCACAAGGGGAAACACTGTTTTTGGGTCAGGGGTCAGATTTTAGGACTAAGGTGTGAATTGAGTTTTGGTTAGGATTAGGATTAAGGTAAGGATAAGGTTTAGGCTGTAGAAATTAATGGAATTCAATGGAAAGTCCCCCCAAAGATAACCATGCAAACGTGTGTGTGCGCGTGTGTGTGTAAAAAGAGAAATCAATTCTATTCAGCAGCTCTGACAGAGGTGGTAAGGTAACCTTATTAAATATATAGACTCCCTGTTCCTTTTATTTGTTTGTAAAGTCGCCTGGTGCTCCATTTACTGAACGTGCAAGATAAAAACCTGATAACAATCCATCTGAGACAACAAAAAACCCCCAACAACAACAAGGGAGACTTATGTTGCGTGGATGTTGAATCGATTAGCGATAAGCCATCCCAATGAGGCATAAATGCCGTCTCACTGATACATAGCTCACTCAGGAAGTCCTTTTGGACAGCCCAAATGTCACCCCTCTTTCAGGATGCCGAGGGCTACACATTGAACTCGTCACTGTGAAATTATCGCTTCACGTCTGTCCGCTCGCGCATAACAACAAAATGCTGCAGAAGGAACGATACATTTGATTTTTGTTTTGCACACCTTCTGTAATGTGACAAATGCTTTGTTTGGGCATTGCAAGATATATGCAAGTTGCTTCTTTATGCAAATACAACTACTGGTTGAGAGATGCTCAAGTGGAAATATGTTTATTAGAAAAGCTGCTAGGTGTCGGGTAAGTTTGTTGGGCGGTGCAACAAAAGAAGGATTTCACAGTCGTGCAATCAGCCTGACTGCTTTCTCATCGTGACGTCCTCTGCGTCTCCGAACACCTCCGAGTAAGGACAGATTGAGATCCACGAGAAAAGAACAGCGGGCGGCGGCAGAGATAACAAACGCTCGTAGCGTAACTACAGGCTCCATCCCGCTGCTCTGACCCTGCGCAATCAATCAGAGTTGTGGCGAATTGACAGGAGAAAATGAAGTTGTAGAGCTGTTGTTCTTCAAAGGGCTCCAGCTAATTTCGTTATTGATCCATCTCCAAGTGACAAAGGACTCCCACATCAAGCAATTTCACTGCATTGCTAAATTACCAGTTGGCCTGGTTTCAATCCACCCAGCGTTACACCGGGGCGCAGGCCGATACACGCAGAGATAAGAGTCTGAGCAAAGCTAAACGCGCGTGCTGAGCAGGTATGGATGTGCACCAGGTATCTGATAAGAAAGAGAACATAACTTAGATAAAGGAGGTGCTGTAACACATACTCCCTTTGACTCATTTAAACTGGATTCAGAATAGTGATTTCACGGGAAGACGATGCATCTCCCCTGTCCTGGGTTTATAGTACGTCTTGGCAAACACACTGTTGGAAAGTGTGTGTGTGTGTGTGTGTGCATTCACAGGAACAACTCTTCTTAGATCGGACCAGTGTTTAAAAGAAACAGAAGGAATCTTGAATCTTAGTGCGTCATGATTCTCTTCCAAATCAGTAAAACGGTTAGCGCTTTACTAAGGTCTTCATACAGTGGGAACTTTTACACATTTTGTCACACTTGCAGCAGCCATTTTTGTTGTGTATTTTATTGGGATTGCATGCCGCTGTGGGTAGGCGTTTCCTCAACGACGACTAGGAAGCAGGTAAGAGACGATGGGAAGATAAAAGGAGCTGAAAACAAGACAATCCCCGGAGAAAACATGCTAGAAAATTCAAATGACTGGGAGCAGAGGTTCACTTTTCAGCGGGACAACTTTAAACATACGGCTAGAGATGATGTTTAAACCAAAGCATAGCCATGTTCAGCCAAAGCGCTAATAGCATAGCTAATTTGCTAACTTTTGCTAACTTTCAGTTGAATAAAGTTCGGCATCTGTGCTGAATTACCAGTAATAATCACCATATTTAGATCATTGACCAGGCACATCTCTGTTCAATAAATTACTTACAAAGCTGCACGGTCAGCAACAGGGTTAGATGCTGTTTGACAAACAGTTTTTTTAGATTACGTGGTTTTTGTCTCGCGGCTAAAGCAGAGAGATTTTTATTTTGTATTAAAACACAAGCTGTTTGAACCAGTGTGAATCTTTAATTTAGTCATTGTTTGGAATTGAGAAAAAAGACAACTCATTACAACTCCTGCACGCAGCTCCAGCTCTGCAGCATCGCAGCGCAACGTGGTCGTTCTAATTGTTTGAGTCTTCAAAGCGGCAGCTAAGCCCGTGTTCGTCTTTGGTGAATCAGGCAAGGGCAACTAATAGACTGTGATCAACACCAGCTTGGTGTGATGCACTGGGGTTTGGCTTGATTAATAATGGAGAGTGCCAAGTAAACACAGGCTCACTTTGCAGATTTACCAAGACTTCAAACATCCTCTGGCAACTGGGTGAGGGGCGGGGAGTTGACGAGCGGAAAGCAAAACTTATAGTTTTGTGTCCAAACAACAGAGATTAGATTCCTCTGGTTGGTGCGTTTCACTGTGGGACTCGGATCAAGAAGCCGATCCAAACCCCACAGCTGAACAGCGAAGCGACGCCAAACCGTTTGAAGTAGCTTTGGTGCCTAGTGAAAAAAACCCCCATTTGCGTCGAAAGAGGAAAAAAAGAAGATTGGATTCTCGGTTTGTGCTTCCTTGGTACACTTATTTTTCTGTTCAGCTTTTTTTTTGTTTGTTTCTGTAATATCTGTATATGTTGCTGGTCATTATTTCTTCAACCAATTCCTTTCATTCAAATGTTGGAGCAAATGGAGAGGAATCCTTGGTGATTCCTCCATTAAGATAATCCAGACTACAGGTCTTGACTTGTATTGGCCATGGAAGACGGATAACTTTGTGTCTCGTGTTAATTTTGGAGAACATACCAATTAGAAAAAGTTAGGGTTATTTAGCTTTCAGGTGAATCGTGTCCCTGCATGAACAACACAGGCCTAATTTCATCTTCATGGTCTACAGCGCTCCATCTCATTGAGGTCACGTCACGAGGGAACATCTGCTGGAGCCTGGAGAACCTCCGGTGGAGTGGCCCGCACCTTCTCCAGGCCCGAGAACCTCTGGGCTCAGCCGAGTTGGTGTGAAGAGGTCTGTGACTCTGCACCTCAGAACCTCAACGACCCTGGGGGTTGCTCAAGTCGTTGAGAAAGCGGGATGGCATGCCTCAGCAGACAGCAAGCTGACTTGTGAACAGCATGAAAGGCCGTTACCAAAATGTAATTAATGCTCAATAGCGGGACTGTGACGTACCCACCACTGGTGTTGGTTGGCTTTTGTTTCAATACATTGTTGGACAAGGAAACCACCACTGCAGGCTTCTCCCTCCTTCCATGAAAGGATCTCATTGTAGCCTAAACTTTTTACATTTTCCATAGATTTTATCCCAAAAGCCAAATATTCCTAACTTTTCTGATTAGTATGCAAAAATTCATTTGTTGACTTCTTCACACATTTTTGTAAAATGTGTTAAAATTACATAGATATACATTTGTAGCCAATTTTCTTTATAATTTTTAGTAGTAGTATGGAGTGTGTGTTGCAGCGTTCACCGTCTTGCTGAAGAACCACGTGATGACTAATTTTCAGTTTCCTGAAAGTCCAGGAAACTGAGCTTCCAGTTAGAGTCCCAGTAGAGTTAATCAAAGCCCATATGTTTATAAAGCTAAGGCTAAAAAAATGTGTCTTTTTCAGGCGTCACTTTTTGAACAACTGGCTCGCTTATCAGTCATTGTCTAATGGTTGTTAGAGTTCTGTAACAATAAGAGTTGAACATTTCTTTTCCATCCCGCTCACTTTCCAAGGTAAAAAAAACTTCTTTGTTTCCACAAATCTGAAGACTGTTTAAGAGAAACAAGCCCTGCGTGAAAACATAAACGTAACCCAGCTAAACAGAAAATCTGGGATTAATAATTAGATGTTTTGAGAAACAACTTAAAAAGTAAAGCATATGTTAAAAAAAAGGCTTACTTTTAGAGTAGTTACAGGGCCAAAAGTTGTTTTTGTTCTCCGCTGAATAAATAAAGTTAATCACAGGTTGGATTCTCTAAGGGTTTTTGCACGTCTTTACCAAAGGTGCCGACAGGAGTGGAGAGCTCGTCAGGGTTAAACTCAGCATCTAGAGGCCGACAAACAACAGTAAGCGCTTTGGACAAAAACATTTCAGTTTCATCTGTTTATTGTTAATGTCTCAGTTATACGTTACAAAGGATTGCCTCAGAAAAATCCATGAGTAAGTTGCCGAGGATATGTCACCATTTCACGCCATCTGCCAACGATTTTGAAAAATTCCAACAAATGAGATCATAACATCGCCTGAGCTCACCGAGCAATTAATGTCAAACCTCTTCACGCAGCTTTACAACCAAAATACATTCGATTCTTTTCTTTTTTATTCGTCCCCCCCACTCTCAGTTTCAGATGATAGATTGTTGCGATGAGAATTGTGAGATACGACCCTTTTGTCTTCTCAGTGTGTGTGAGAGAGTGAGAGAGAGAGAGAAAGAGAGAGAGAGAGTGGGTGAGTCACGGAGTTGGGAAGGTTTGGAAATAAACCCAGGCAGTCTGAGCTTATTAACAGCGACGAGAAGAAGTGGGGGGGTTGGGGGCAGGGGGGGGGCGTAAGGACACAAGGCCCAGAACGAACGGTAATGAGACGGAATGGAGATGATGAAAGATGAGCATATCCTGTTGCGACTGCATGAACCTCCAATAACCTTCAAACCCCCAAACGGGCAAAACATCTTATGAAACGGCCTGGGGTGGAACAAAGTGATCATTCTCCTGACTGCCATGTAGAGAGAAATATTAGGAACGGACGATGTTGCGCCCTAGAACAATTTAAAAACAAAAAAAAGAAAATCGTTTACGTTCGAGTGGAACTCGAGCGATTTTTGTGTAATAATGAAAAACTTGCAATTACGTAACATGGCTACTGGAAAGTTGCCAATGTACGGGTACAGAAAAGCCAGTTGTTTGGAATAAATGTAAGCTGTGGGAACAGCTTCTATTCTTCCATGTCTCCGAGGTTTTCAATGTAAACTAGGAACTAAAAGGTTTGACCTCAACTTGTTATATTAAAACTTCTAAACTGAACTCAGTGATGATTTGCAGGTCAAAATTAGATTTTTCTCACGTATGGTGCGTTCACACCAAACGCGTTTTGAGCGTCAGGCCCATCTACGTGGAGGCACGTCGAGGGCCGTAAAGGCGCGATTCGAACCTTTTGACGCGTCAAGAGCGTCCAACGGAAAGCTCCGGCTGGAGCCGACGCGTCTGACGCTTCTCCCCACAGTCCTTGAACGCAAGCCAGACGCGCGAAACGCGAGGTGGAGAGCAAAATGTCGAGCGTCTGCATTCAAAGAAGGGTAACGAGTCGAACTTGAAGCGTAGGATGTGTTTTTGACGTGCATAGCGCGTTTGGTGTGAACGCGCCATAAAACCATTTCGGAAGCTAAAAGTGTTCAGAGTGCTGACCAGGCAATGTGAATTCCTGCATACGGCCCAGAAAGCAGCATACACCACATAAAAGCACCAAACAGGCTTAGAACTGAGTAGTTCAGTTCTGTAATTCCTCATCACGGGTGATGTAATATTGGCCTTCAGAACTGCTTTGTATCATACTCACATTTAAAACCATCAGTCATTTTAAAGATAAGCTGAAGACGTACAAAAAGCTGTTTTTGGTTGTTTTTTTTAAATAACTTCATTTATTAAGGAAAACAATAAATTAAACTCAACTCTGATCTATATGGAGAAAAATACTCTGCCAATTGAGAAAATAACCAATTTTGTCACCGAGGGCAACAGGTCAGATGATTATGGTTGAATATTCTCCTTCAGGACTTTCTGGTAGAAGCGCATAACCCATGGTTTTACTAACTAGGTGAGTCACCCAGTTCCTGTGCCAACAAAGCAGCTCCAGATTCATTACCAGCTTCGCGTTAGCGTGGTGTTCTTTCTCTCAAATGCTTTTGTTTTAGTTCACATCAAACGCAGCAAGATGCATTTATCTCATCAGTCCTTATAATATTTTACCAAAAGTCATGGGATTCGTCAAGGTGGTTTTTGGAAGTGGTTTTGTCTTTGAACTCTCGCATTCAATCCCATTTCTGCTCATTGTTGTTGAGTTATGATGACGATTTAACAGTGGAATTATATTTGCTGAACTCTCTCTGATGTTAAAGTTTGTTTATGATCCAAAAGAAAAAAAGAAACAGAGGAAATTCGCAAGTGGGTGACTCTACTTCCTCCAGTTTAACATTACAAAAAAACATAATTATGCCAGCTTTTTTTTTTTTTTTTTTTTGCAACATAACTGCTCATCACTCAACTATACGGATTTAAAATTGTGAAAAGGAAAACTAACCTTGCGGTCCTCCTTAAAGAGCTCTGCTGCTGTGGTGAAGTGAGGGACGGCGTTTTTACAGTGTGGACACCCTGAAGGGAATGAAACAGGCAGGAGAAAGTTACAGCTCATACCCATAGATTCATAAAATATTGACATGTAGGGGTTAAACGGAAAATCAGTGAGGAAATTATGTTTTCCCATATAAATACATTTGTTGCCATATAGACTCGAGCATTCCTCACTGTTGGCAAACCCCCCCAAACACCAGCTCTCTGGCTACACCCGGCATTCGTTATTCACGCACTAAATCAGCAAACGTTTTACAGGAATCTCGCCAACCTCCAAAAAGGTGGAGGAAAATATAATCAGTTGCACATTAAATCACATAAAATATACAATAATCAGGAGGATTTCTTTGGATTCCAGCAACAAAATGCAAACCCGGTGTGTTTCTCTAACAGCCCGTTTGCTAATAACACGTCTTCTGCCTTCAGCTGCGGCTGAAGCTTGGCATTCTGTGGGCACGGCTCGTTTGTTTTGTTCTCTTCTTGTTAATGTCAAGTACGCAGATCTTCTCTTCTGTTCATTATCATCAAACTGTCAGAAATGTTAAGAGGTGAAATAAAAGCGAGGACGCATCTTGAGGAGAGTATTATATATGTCAACAGGCAGTTTGACATAAAAGCTTTTTGCGTGGAGAGGTAGGAGTAAATTACCGATCCAGTCAGCACACGACAGACAGGCGCTTATAATACTTTCACATTAATGGAAATGTACACAGTTTGCCGTTTTAAGTTATAAAAGAGCCAAATATTTCCTTAAAGTCTACTTAGATTATTATTTTTTTTTTAAATATAAATCTGAAGTAATATACCTGTTTACACTGAGTTGTTAAAAGCTTGTAGTCGGTAAACTCATTCAGAGAGGTCAGTAAATGTAGATATAAGGAACATCTGTATATGTAGCGGAGTGCAGCAGAAATTAATAATTTTTGAAAAATATTCTCCATTTCTCTTTAAAAGAGTTTATCACTATTATTTTATTTTTAGGTTTTAAAAAATAAAGAAGATCAAAACTTTTGCAAAAAGCAGATGGATACATTTTCTTCCGTGGGTTGCTATGCTGAGCAGAGTTTTCAAACTGAGAAAAAGAAAACTGGATCTACAAATTTTTTATTTTTAGCCAAAGTTATTTAGAGCCTGTGGACGTTTCTCATCTATGAAATAAAAACGATGGCATTCAAAATACTATACAGAATTTATCCCGCAAATTAATTTGTTCAATCCAAATTTGATTTGGATCAGTGCTGACAGGATTTTTGTTTTTATTACTCATGCTGAGGTTTCTTTTATTTTTCATATGAGGTTATCAGTGGGTCTTTGAATGACTTTTGAAGTTGGTTTTATTCTGAGAATCGTTTTATAATTTTACTTCAACACACAGCACGATGCTTTTTGTCAATAAATGTTGATTCTTTTAAACTAATCCACTTGCAAAATGACCTGTTTTTCTTTTACAAATTCCCAAAACTTATTCTTTACGAGAATCTTTACCTTAATTTACAAATTTTTGGCTTATTTCACAAAACATCTTTTGCTAATTATTTTCAGAATGAAAGCATTTGCAAATAAAGCAAAAACAGATTTCTTTGCAGGAGAATAAGTTTATATTTCAGTCCATGCTTAGATCACACAACAGCTTAAAAAATGCTAATATGTTTGAATGACTGTGTTTGGGTGGTTTTCTCCTTTTACACTCCTCGTTTCGGGCCTCACTTTTTTTTTTTTATCCATAATGTCTTGATGAGGCATTGTGGGTAAAAAAAAAACAAAAAACAAAAAAAAAAAACACAAAAAGACATACAGTTTGTTCCATCTTAAAGTCTCAGAAAAATCTTAAAGTGCAAGGTTTTATCCAAAATGACTACAATAGAAATAAACTTCCCCTTTAAGCTACCATGTAAGTAACCATGTAGTGCGTTTAAATTTCCCCAACACCAGATCAGCGTCACAGCTCACTAAAACAATATCAAACTTCAGACGTGACATTCACGTTTAATGTCAGCATGGCGATGATGAAACGACGCATCTGTTCTGCGCCGCTTGTGTTATTCTGTTAAGCTGCTGCAATAAATAACGTCTCAACATAACAGGTTCTTTACTGAACTGTAAAAACAACTCAAAGGTCTTCTGTTAGTAGAAGCTCACATTCTAAATGCACTCGTTTACCTGCCTTTTCCATTATCAGAATTAGCCTTTGTTTGTTTGTTTGTTTTTTGTATCATTTCGCGTGAAGACGCTGGCCGCAGAGGCGCATCGAACAGCTTACACGTTTAATGAATCAAACTGTTTTAATTAACTGACCAAGCCGTTACTAAGCCGATGGTCCCTAATGATTATTGGGCAAATAAAAACAAAGCCTTATCTTAATGCATAAGTAGCGTATAGAACAGCTCTTTTATTTTAGTGATGAGTTGCCTGAGGACTAGAGACCCGTTTAATTATTGAGGCAAAAATAAATAAATAAATAAAATAAAATGAAGTGCTCAGTTTTTGGCTGGGGGAAGCAAATTATAGGTACAAACGTAGCTGCTGCGATGATCTACTGTTTGGGCTTTTTTAAGCTAATTTTTCTCTTTTTTTCTTAACCCACTTAGCGTAGAAGACGATTTACACAGTTTGTTTTTAACAAAAGTAATGTTCGTTTTTATAAATGGCCACTTGTAGTCCAATTAGTCCATATAAGCTGGTTGGATTCGACATTAGAAACTATAAATACACATACATCAGCTCAAGTTTGCTATGGATAAAACCTAAATAAACCAACAAAAAAAGCATCAGTACTCGATTAAAAATCATTTAAAAGACTGAAATGATCTATTATTTTTCCAAAGCCAGCAGCAACGTAACTAACCAGAAGTCAACAGCAAATATCGATGCTGTGCAGTTTACTTTATGACTGCGTCAAAGTAAAAAATAAAACATTACGAAGCACGACAACGAGAAAGACCAGCCTGCTCTACATTGTTAATATCCTCACGATTGATATTAATGTCAATGTTATCAAGTCATAAAAAATCCTTTTAATAGTCTCTGCTAACCAACGTCGATAAAATATCAGAATTGTAAGTATTCAGCAACCTGCTTTCGAACAAGCAGCAGACTAAACTCTTTGATTCTCATTTAGGAAATATCTTAGAGCAGACAAAAACTGAGACACTACGTTTAGTTTTTCAAGAAAAATTATTAAACAAGAGCACTTGAGGTTTATTTAGTCTTCAGTAGATTTTACAAACTACCCTCGAGTTTTTACTCTTCTGTAACTTTTTCGCCTTGCGAAAGCATTCATACGCCTTGAACTTTCACATTTTGTCCCGTAAAGATTGAAAGTTTTAATAAGTTCCTTATTGGAATTTTATGTGATATACCATTACAAAGTGGAGCATAATTATAAATTGTAAGAAAAAAATATATATATGAAAAATCTAAAAAGTATGCATCAAGCCTCCATGACAAAACATTTTATGTTATTTGTACACCATGCTGCTGCCGCCACTGTGCATCACCGTTTTGCACAGGGTTATAAAACTAACCATTTTCATGTTGGCCAAAAAGTTAAAGCTGCAGCATTTAGCTTTTATAAGAAATGTTTGTTGTTTTTTTTTTTTACATATTTGCTAAAACTGTCTCATACTTTTCTGTCATAATCTGTGAAAAGCTCCAAAAACTGCCTCAGAAACGCATTCAGTAAGAACAAAACAGCAAATTTAACCGTTGCTTCTCCGGATGTCGCAACCGCAGACAGCTAGGTGATCACATGCACCAGTAAAACATAGAAGATTTCTGCTCTGCTTTTCACTAACTTTGATTTATTAGCTAGCGTCTGCTGCGTTTCATCTGAACCTTAATCAAGAGAAGCCTGTGAACCGATCAGAACCCGGCGAGCGGGATGCAGGTGGCGTGGGCGGGCAGGCGTGACAGCGCGCCGATGCTGCTTGATGTGCATCTGGACCTTTCCTTTGTAGAAGCTAACACCAAAGAGCCGGCAGAGGAAGCAGCCCGGCCGGCCCGCCGCCTCCGACTTTGAAGTCCGAAAACGCAAACAAATGCATAGAAGTGCAGGAGCATCATGCGTCTGTGAGAGGATTTTATGAATGGTTATTTTCTTTTTCTATTGTTTAAAAATGCTGTCCTTTCTTAACCTGCTGATTTTTTCTTTTTTTTTGTAGAAAGGATGAAGTGTTTGAATCTAATCATGGTCTTTTCCTGCAGCCAGTCAGGTTCATGTGAAAATGTAATTACGTTTTTGCAGATACAGATAAATCTCTCGGCTGCCGGCGAAGAAATTGTTTCCTGTATCTCTTAAAATAAATTAATCCAACCTTTAATTTTGGCACATTTTATTCAGTTCACAAACTGTCGTAAAATGACAGGCTGCCGGAGACTGAAATCTCAGATTTTTCCACCACAACAAAACGAGAATTACTTTTAAAACATTAACAAAACAATGCTTTTGTCTGAGGCTGCATGTTTGAAGGCAATTCTGTATTTCCTAGACAGCTAAAGGAGATTTCCAGGGTTATTTTTTTCATATTTCAAGACCTTCCTGAAGCACTTATTAGAGACAGCCTTTTAAACTGTTGAATCCTGAAATCTATTCTCAGAAACGCGAGTCATTCCTTGTCCTCCCTGTGGATTAGGTGGAGCTGACGTACGCGCTGCAGAGAGGCGAGAGCCTCTGAGGCGCATATGGACACCGGTTTAAAACAGAACATGATCGCACCAAAAACAGAGCTGCGATTCCACCCGATGCGTTTTCCAAATGTCAGGCTGTAGGAACGGCTTTTACTTCTGAATACATTATGCTGACAGTATATCAGGGAGAGTTGAGAGAACTAAAAAACAAAAATGTAATAAAAATGTCTTACAGGGAGCATAAAACATGACCAAAGCATGCTTCTTCTTCTTCAGAGCTTCTCTGAAATCCTCTGAGCCAAGATGGCTGACACTGGAGGGCCTGTCCTCCCAGGACTGCTCTGGTGGCGGAGGAGCCTGGGGACTGCGGAGATAAAAGCAGCTCATGAAATACCGTCATGACAGCAACAGTCCTGTTTTAACGCGTTAGTCAGTAGTCTGTTAGCAGATATACAGGAACAAAGCACGTCAAGATTTAAAATGTGTATTTTGTACTTTTTTTTAAGTTATCTTAAGTGTGATATTGAAATTTATTTGACATTTTAAAAAAAAACCCAACAGAAATAGAAGATATATGTAATGGGGGAAATATTTTCACAACACCAGAAAGTTTGATCAAGGGATGTTTAGAAATGACACAAAATTAAAAAACTACTGACATTTATGTTTTAACATTTTTTTAAAAACGATTATTTATACACCAATTGTAAAAAAGAGGGTTTTTGCAGGTTTCCTGACAGATTTAAGACCATTTAAGACCAGTATGAAGAAAATTTAAGACCAGTATCATGACAGAAGTGTAAAAAAGGAAATGGTATATTTATATTGTAGTGCCAAGTTGTTGTTTTTTTCCCCTGAATGCACCTAGCCTGGCAACAGAAGTGAGCAAGTGGCTAATACAACTGCAGATAATTTACACTTACCAATAATAGATGTAAAAAAAAAAAAAGCTAGCTAGGCAGCAAGAGTTTACAGCAGCTAGCAAGCGGTAGCCTCAACCGCCTTGAGTCTAAGAGTGCAGTGAAGACGCCTGAGTCCAACTCAAACTTTGTGGCCTGACAGAAAAGCCTCATGAGAAAAACAAACTGCGTTTGTTTTTTGTTTTGTTTGTTTTGTACAAGATAAAGTCGTCCTGCCAGGACAAACGTAAGACGTGTGATTATTTAAGGACCTTCGTTTGGATAAGTGAATTTAAGGCTTTTTAAGGATACACATTCAAACCACAGTTTCACTCCAGGAGCGATTTAACTCTTAAAAGTTTGTGATAATATAACAAGAGATCCCCTTAAAGAAACAAGTTGGCATTTCCAGCGCTTTAATGAATGTAACTATTGCCATTATCATTTCATGACAAACGCAACAGATAATGTGTTTGTTACGCCTGCACTAACCAGACACGGAGTGTCGGTGCCGGCTACGTCGGCGCATTTCACACCGACCCCTTAAAAGCCGAGGCTCGACTTGGAACACGCGTCCATTAGACAAAAGGTGAAGAGTCGACGTCTCGCTAAGTGTGTCGAGCCAGTGACTCACTTGTGCATGAACTCGATGATCTTGTCTTTGCTTCGGAGGTGTGGGAGCGTGTACTTCTCTTCCCCTTTCTCAAAGTACTTCACGGTGGGGAAACCGGAGATCTTGAAGCGATCTCCCACAGCCTTGTGCACCGTGGCGTCGACTGCCGCCAGCACGCCGGGGCTCTGCAGAGAAGCAACGTCCAAGTCAAATCATCACTTTTAGACGTCTGCTGCAAGGACTGAAATCTGTATTGGTAATTTAGTACAGTAGGCAGGAGCTGCAGAAAGGTTTGCAGAAGATAAATTGCAGCAACAGAAATACAAGGAGTGGAAATGCAGTAGATGTTACACAAATGATGCAAAGCGCGAGAACGGGAAGAAATGTCAACGATAGCTTAATGTTTTGGACGCCGGTTTGAATAAGATTAATTCAAAGTCAGACTCAGATTGAAGGACAGATAGAGGAATAATGAGATACTTTCCAGAAGCAGCAAGCAGATTTTTCCGATAACCAGCTCGGTGTGACGCCGCGCGGAGCAAAGCAATGCATCTACAATTAGTGGAAAGGAAATTTGCTTCAAGAATACAAACCAACAGAAAACAAAGCAAACCGAAGGAGGGCAGTGAGGCTATTGTTATTTTTACAAAACAATGAAATTAAAAATAGAGCAGCGCAATTTTCCAAAACTTACTTCAACATGTTACCACTTAGGCAGGGTGAGTTGTAACAGACTCAAAACTTAGTTGTAACATTTGCAAAAAAAAATACTGTATATGAATGGAGGAAATCCATGTACAGGTGAAAGACAGACACCGACTCAATCATCTATTTTTCCTCTTTTAGCGATTTGTTACGGAGTGATGATCAGTAACTCCAGTTTTTTTTAAAACTTCTCCAAAGCAGGAACTCTTTTCTGCTCTTCTCCATGAACCTGAATGGGAGTTGTCTGGAAACGTTTATTTAGACACGATCTCAAAGCGACCAGACGTCCATGGCGCTCCAAACAAACACACAAAAAGCTCTGTGTAACAACAAACCGCTGGTCGCTTTTAATTAGGACACGTTCTATCATTTTCTTTCATATTTTCATTTGTTATTTTTTCTTCTTTGCTACATCTGTTTGCACTGTGCTGGTTTTCTCCCCCCCTCACCCCATAGGAGGATGCTCGTCTGGCCGTGAATGTTCTGGGGAAAATTGTCATAATTCTCGGCGTCTGCATCGCATTTTGAGATGACACTTTCTGCTGCCTGTGTTTTCAATGCTCACTCTTACTTTCGCCCCACAGATTTCAAAACCACTTCTGTGAATTCTCCACTTCAGCTGTCATGTTTCAGCTAGTCTGGCATGAACGGCGCTTCCCTTCAGGACCTCCATTTTAAACTCCCGGGGCCTCGTGTAAGAAGCCAGCTGGTAGTTTGAAAGCAAACGCAGAAAACCCGTGTGGGGCTCATCGTGACATGCAGTCACAAAGCTTCATATGACTGTACTTCCTACAGTGACTTAAAAAAAGTGAATGTTTTCACCTTTTAAATGTAAAGTGGAAAGGAAAGACCAAAGCTAAAACTCTGTGTTGCCTATAGCAACAGCCCTGAAAACCTTGAACGGTCTGGAGAAGACGTGTGGAGAAGTAGCGACAAAACCGCAGGAAGAACCGACAGGAAGAGGAAGAACCAACCTCTGAACTCGGAAACAAAAGGTTTGAGCACCAAATGTTCACTTCTATTTTCCCACTGGTATTAAAATGCTTATTTAATGTAATAAAATGCTAAATTACTTAAAAGTTACACAGTGTGATCTTCTGGATGTTTCTTTTTTTTTAGATTTTGTCTCTCGCAGTTGAGGTGTACCTACGATAAAAATGACAGACGTCTCTGCTCTTCATAAGTGGTGAAACTTGAAAAATCTGTGTTACATTAAATGCTTATTTTCCCCTCTGTATTAGTTTAAATCTACAGTTTCAACTTCTAAATGTGCAAAGCTGACACAGAAATACCCCCCAAAAGTGTGCTTCTACAAAGCCCTTACTAAAGGGTGTCACCCAGGGGAGGGTGAATATAAAAGCACACCACACTTTTCAGAATTTCTTCTAAAAAAAAAAGCAAAAGAATAGGAAATCAATTAATAATTTCCTTTTTGTTTCACAGTATTGATGGAATAGAACAATATGTTGTAAAAAATCCCAACGACATTCATTCCAGTTTTGTACTGGGAGAAAATCTGGAAAGATTCAATGGACATATAACGCTGAAGGCCTGTTGAGTAAAGAAAGGAAGCTTGAGTGATAAATTAAGCATTTCAAGCAGATTAGGGAGTTCAAGCTGTGCAACTCTGCAAATGTTTTCACACATAGTACACTCAAAATGAAGGTGAAATCAAATTTCAAAGTACAGCCCAACACATTCAAAGCAAGAAAATAAAATAAAGTAAACAAAACTGAGTTATACACTGGATTCTAAGAGCTCAGGGTGAGAGCAGCTCCTCTCCATTAATATTAGATAATAGGCAGGACTTTGCTATTGGCCTCCAGGGCTGGGCACAGAGCCACAAGGACAAAGGCCAAGCGTGGGGCAGAGCAGCGCTCAGGGATGAGGTCAACGGGCTGGACCGACCTCTGCAGGCCCGGCCCCAGGTTTGGGAGTGTGAGGTTTAAACAGAAACCAGTGGGAAAGAGAGAGAAAGAGAGAGAGACAGAGAGAGAAGAACCACACCCGACTAATCAGAAACACATCCAGAACCAGGCTGCTGCACTGACCCAACGTGCCACCTGCAGCCGCCAACAACCGCAGGCGAAGGAGGAGGGCCAATCACGATCTGTTCATGAGGCGCAGCTACGTCACGCAAGTCGGGATGCGGAGTGCGAAGGACAAAACGCTCACGGACAAGCATGCAGCTCTCATGTAAACAGAGTTCCAGAAACTTACATCTGTGGCTTTGTTGAGCACTTCGGCCGCGTCGTCATACTCTGGCTTCATTTTCTTGCAGTGGCCGCACCCTGCAGGATCCCAGAGAACACACGTTACGGCCAAACAGATGGGTTTCGTTCAGCTGGAGCGTTAATCAATAAAGTTACAGTAAACAACAGAACATCGGGAACAAAACCTTTTGCGCTAGTCAGTCACACACGTGAAAGAATTTAAAGGATCCATTTCTTAATTTGAAACGACAACAAAAAAAAGGACAAAATCCTACCAAGTAACTTTGGTCCTAGATTCAATTGCAAATATCCTCGACAATTGAAATTAGACAAAATTAACTTGCAAGTAGAATAGAATAATGTGAATCCATACCAATTATTTTTTGTTGTTGCTTTAATTTAGTTTTGCTTTTTGTAAATGTCTATTTTTTAAATACATTTTTGGGATAAAAGGACAGGTATAAGATTTTTTTTGTCTTTCTGCTGCCTTTCATTTCTTTGATTTGTATTTTTTTTCCTATTGTATTCTAGTTTAGTTTTTAACGAGATGAATAAAATTCCTAATTTTTCAGCGAGACATAGGAGCTTGTTTTAAGCAAATTATTCCTCAATATTAATGAAAAAGAAACTAACAATCTGCCAATAGAACAAGCACTTTGTCATAAAAGAGTGTAAAGATTGCTGAGAAGTTACTTTAAGTTAGTTTTGTCTTATTTTAACTGTACTAAGATATTTGCACTAGAAACTAGACAAAGAAAACTTAGTAAGACTTTTTGTGTTTTTGCGGTGTAAGATACTGTAAGGAATCAGGTGCATGACTGATTAGAAACAATAAAAGAATAAAAAAAAAATCAATTTACATTTTCAACCACCTGAATCATCTCCACTCAAGTCTAACAGCAGACAGGATGGATTAGACAGCAAGTAAACATTCTGACATTAAAGTTTACGTGTAAGAAGCAGGAAGTAAGGCCTCATGCTGATTCACCAATCAAATCAAAGTTGCGTCGGAGCCCCTCTGAATAGTAATGCAGTGGTGAAGCGAGTAATTTTCCCCCCTCCGAAACTCTTTATAATGCCATATGGAATCAATGCAGCTGTGTTTTCTTAAACAAAAATCTCTTTCTGTCAGGGAAGTTTAATGATGAGATTTCTGCTCATGTATATGAGAAAGGAATATCTCTGGCACACCCAACGGGACTTGGAGCCCGGATTTTGTCGTGCATTATTAGGGAAAAGGTTTTTATGGGATGGGGGCAGTTCGGTGATTTGACGCTACAGCTAGCTTCATGGAGAGCCGAGGTTTGAGGGAGACGAGGGGATTGACGGGGGCGGGGGGGGACGGTGTGAGAGATGACTTGATCTGAGAAGCTTCCCGTCGCCCAGGGCCAGACACTTCAATCCATCCGAGTGGACCACTTCATCTGCATGATGACAGGAAACACCACTGAGCATCGATTCAAAAATAAAACTGGAGAAATATGTTTTCTAGTACTTGGTATTTTGGACCACTCCCGTCCTAACAACCAGACATGCCTCAATCAGAAATATTCAATCCCCTCGCCTAGAGACGCTGCAGCAATGTGGATGGAAAATAATGACAAATTGCTAGAAACCTTTTTAACAATGTAGCTTTGACTTAACTGGACAGTAGAAGTTAACTTCACTAACAAAACTGAGTACATAATAAGCCTGACTCATCACATTTTACCATATTTTTCAGGCTTCTTTTCACAGTCAAGTGCAACTTTTTGCCCCTTTTTCGCGACTAATACTCAAAAGGAAATTACAATATTCATACAGTTAGAAATCCTGTTTATTAGACGTCACAAAACGGATGTGATTGGAGCTTTTTGGGGCTCTTGCTGTGCACTGCTGGTCAAGCTGGCTGCAAAAGTGCGCCACCAAATAAAGCAAATGTGGGCGTTTAAAATTTTTTGTCAAGAAAAACTGACTAAATAATATTAATACCAACCTTCTGTTATTAATAAACATCATCAAAAGGGTCTATTAGTGCGACTCTATAAGACAAGAAATGAGGGGAAAAATGTGCGACTCTCATTAAAGCTGTGGATAAGTATTTGTAGCGCCGCTGCATCTCTGTCTTTGCCTTGCTTACATACAGCTGTAATTATGAACATTTATATCATTGCAGCAGAGGCAGAGCTAATTATTGGTTTTAATAAAATTGTATAATTACAAAAACGCATGCGATACCATCAAAGCGAGTTTATCATCCAGTGAGATTTGTACCGGCCCGTGTTTAACAGGAAAACCGTTAAATCCAGAAATGGGGAATAAAAAACTGTAAAATTATACATTCCTCTAAAAGAATGTAGAAGAAGAAAAAAACTGCCTCATTTGCAAAACAAATGTAGCTTTTACAGAGATCTACACTCGCTGGCCATTTTACAAGGTACACCTTCATAGTTCCAGGTTTAATTCCCTTTCATCTACAGAACTGCCTCAATTCTTTGTGGAACAGCTTGAACAAAGCACCAGACCCATTTGGTCCATGCTGACGTCGAGATACGAGTCACCTGGGCACCAACTCTTTCCATCCCACCGCAGAAATGTGCCCCAGTAGGTTGAGATTTATTGTCCGCAGAGGCTTTTGATTTACAGAAAACCCATCGTCTTTGCCAATTTTGCCATTTTTCCAGACTGTAATTGTCCAATTCTGGTGAACTGTATCATCAACTTCCTGTCCCTAACTTCCCTGAGCAATGCTGTGTGTGTGTGTGTGTGTGTGTGTGTGTATGTGTGTGTGGTCTTTTGATGCTGTGGCTTTTATCGCCTCCAAAGGATGATACGTCTTTACGTTGAGAGAGGGGATTCTGAATACCTTGGTTAGGGGCTTGCATCTAACACATCTTTAAATAAAACACACATATTTTTCATATATAGATTGCCCAGAAAGAAGAACAAAACTAACTTTTTCTGAACTTGCTAAATTGCCCTTGTCATAACGGTTCAGGAAGTCCTTTCTTCAGTATAATAAGCAGAACCGGTGGAGGCTATAAATCAAGAGTAATGCACGTTGTGGCAAAGAAACCTGCGTCTCTTTAAACTAAGCCTCTGTGGTGTTTGATTGTGCAGAGTGTGTTGAGGCTCAGCAGAGATGCAAAGTGATTCAGAGGGCTTTTTTTTTTTTTTTTTTTTTAAGGCCCTTCAAAATGATGAGCAAGAGAGAAAGCCCAAATGTCCGTCCTTTGCTCTGTGTCAGGCCTGCTCTGCATTCGGAACAGGCGGCGCGTCGGTGCGTGCTCAGCGGGGGGGCCGGGTGTGTGTGTGAGATACTGCTGATTCTGGTTGAGTGGTGGGGAGATCAGAGTCAAAACAGTAAACATGCAAGCTCCGGAAAACAACGGAGACGTTACAATAAAAAGGAGGTTCTGCCGTTTTACAGGAGGTGTTGTGAAAAGACGTAAGCTAAATGACAATTCAAAAAAAGCTTCTCTGCAGGTTTCACCAACTCAAATTTAAGACTTTTTAAGAACTTTTCAACACCATCATGAATAAAATTTAAGATCATAAAATCACATTTTATATTGCTGTGCAAAGCTTTTATTTATTCATTTTTTTGCCTAGATTACACGTAGCATCGTTCAGGTTGATGATAATTTACATTTTCCAATAATAGAAGCACAAAAAGCTAGCGAACTAGCTAGCAAAAGTTTATTAGCAGCTAGTTAGCGGTAGCCTCAACCATTCCGAGTCACAAGGATGCTCAGAAAATGTCTGCATCTGACTCAAGCTTTTGCCTGACAGAAAAGTTTCACGATAAAAATTAATTATGTAGAATAGAGGTTTCCCCCAGAAAACTTGCTTAGCCCGGCGCTCGGGGCGCTAGGAACATCATTCATCCAGCCGGCAGCCATGGTTTTGAGTTAAAAAATGTTTAATGCTGACAGGAAATTTGAAAATATCACTTGATAGTTATGCATTTTTGGAAGACTGGAAGATTAATACCCACACACCAACTACAAATTCTTAAAAAAGAAAAAGAAAAAGGCAATGATAAAAAAAAAAAAAACTAGAATAAATTAATGCTAAGCCTGGTGTCAGCACAAGTAAAGCCAGGAGGCCCGCCAGGCTTATAATACACTGTGGGAAACCCTGGAATATACAACAAAGCTTAAGACCTGTGATTAATGTATTTAAGGCCAACTTACAATTTTTTAAACATAAACTTAAGAAATTTGAATGAATTTAAGACTTTGTGAACCCTGTGAAATGAGGCCCAGTGACCAGTGATCAAACAATGCAGCTATAATTAGCTTTGAAACAACACTCAGTGCATCAATAGCTCAATAGAAACTTTTGTTTTGGTCCAGAACACAATCGCCCGCCCTCAGTGCACCGAACTGGAGGCCCACAAGAAGTTCCACACAAAGCTCCCCTGCTGTGCATCTCAGAGGACAGTGAAAACGGGCAGAAATGCAAGGCGATCGCGTCAGCCGGGAGAACATTAATCTCAATTTGACGGCAGAGCCATCAAGAAACTGCACCGAAGCAGCAAAACCGGGCAGCTATGCGTCTGTGCCTCCATTAGAGGGAAACAAGAGATATGCAGCTCAATTGTGCGCACTAAATGTTTTGTCATGGTGTGTGAAATATGCATTCGATATGCTGCTGGCGCGCGCACGCGGAGCGCACGCACGCGGTATTTGATGAAGCTCGTTTCAGCCGACTGCCCTTGATCTGAGCGTGTTTACGACTGGCTGCTGTTCCGGGGGAGAGTCGAGTGCAGCGGAGGCATCTGTGAAGCTGCGACACCGCAGCGGGAAAAGAGTGGAGCAATCTGCTTCCAGCATCGTTCCAACAGACACTCGCTCAAACACTTCTCTGCACATTTAGGCTAAAAATAGAGAGGGGGGGAGGGAGAGAGAGCGAGAAGGGAGGAAAAAAATAATGCACCACGATTTTGGTCACCCTGTCAGTGACCTCTGAAAGCTGAAGTGATGTGATCATTTTTGCTACACGCAAAACGGCCCTGGAAGGAAACCAGCGGTTTGTGGCGAAATGATTCTTTGTCTAAACACCAACAGCAGGAACCCATGATGCAAATATTTAGTTTTATCAGCAACAAATTTCCATTCTTAGGTATTTTCTCTCCAAACAGTCATGATCTACGACTTAAACCAAAGCAAAGGAGTGAGGACTAGTTGTGTGAGTGACATCCGTTTATACTGAACATTATAACATGGTTTAATTGACACATTTTTGATACAAGTCAGTAGGTAATATATCTAATTAAATTGAGATAAGGGGTAGGATTGAACAGAAAAGTAGTGATAAACTAAATATTTGGTTCTTGGTTATGTATGCACATGTTTTTCTCTGGCCCACTGACTGCTCTTGTTTTATTTTTTTAAACTTGTTTGAAATAAACAAATAAAATCATTTCATAAAGAAATTAGTTGCCATAAAACTCCCAGCCTGATTCTTGCATGAATAGGACTCGTCGTTAGTTTGACATCTGACCCCGATCTGTCCCCACCTGGACAATTCACAAAATTCAACTGCGATAATCAAGTGTTGATGTGGGACCAAAGTCTCAACCAAAAGGGGGATCTGGAGGACAGTAGGGGCAAAAACGATGATTAAAAAAATCAGCAGCCTGAACTTTTCTGGACACAGGAAACACAAAAATGAAAAACAAAAATGTTTTTTTTTTAAACAATTTCATTTAGTAGTAAGTAGCTCTGCTCTAATAACTAATTTTCTGTACTTCAGTGGAAAATGTGCGTGTTTGATTTCTGAGTGGGGTTCATTGCTTTTAGAAGGAAGCTACCAAAAGCACAAAATTATATGTTAAAATGTTACAGTTTTTTTTTCCAAATAAACTTGTTAGATCCTTGTTGAGGCTTGAACTGGAGTGGCTGTTTTTCGTTATGCGTCATTACAGGATAGAGACTGAAAGAACTGATGGTGGGGAGGTGATGTGCAAGACTTGCGTAAAAGAAAAGATCATCCAGAAATATCTGCATCGTGATTAAGATGTTGTTGTCTAACTTAATGTGAATTTCTTTATCAATAATTTATAGCTATATGTCACAACAAGAAGAATGGAAAGCTCCCCAACAAAGAGGAGGAGGAGGAGGGTTTGATCAAAGTAAGTCGTGTCTGGAAGTTGGAAAAAGTCTGGCAGGGTCACAGAGTTCTGCGTAACGACAGTGTGTGGTGCCTGAATGGAAATGTAAAGCATGTGCAGAAACGACAAGCGGGCTTATATGAACCATATGGCGACAATGAGGTGCAATGTGCAGGGATGTAGAGGGGTTCGTATGTGATGGATAGCGATTTCGCTCCGAATTCCCTGCGTTTGGTCTGGCTTTGAGTTTGTTCCCCCCCCCCATTTCTAGTCCTTCCTTTGGTTCCTTTCTCCAACTTCAGAAACTCGCATGACAGCGAAATGATGTTATCAGTGTGACTAAATAACGGCTGAACCCACGGGAAAACTGCACGAAGAATGTTTTCCATGGCAGGAAGGAGCGAGAAGCTCCTCTTGACTGGATGCTGCACATTTTTTACTGCTAAAAAAAAATTCTCAAGATAATACTATGCACTCTGTTGCACAATGAGGGCTGCTGGTGGAGGGAAAGTAAAAGATGAGACAATTTTCAGACTGTCAAAAAGTTTAGCACAAAAGCAGAAGACGCTAAGCGTGGAGTTTTAAAGCACAAGACGGATCAAAAGGATGTCGATTCTTGGCTCTTTTATCCGTGTTGGCTTCCAATGAAGGAATGTTGAATATTTAACGACAGAAGAAGAGAGACTAAGGGTCATAGTGCAGTAGACTTCAATTGACTGGGGGACATGTTCAGCTGACGTGGTCTGCTTTCACTGCGTCACACGATCTAAACCCGTTTACTTCAGTTTAATCTGATTAAACAATCTTTTAATAGCCGGTAAATTGAAAAATAACTTGCTAGTTCCATTTGTTATAGAGAAATAGGCAAATTCATTTACTCACAGGACATTTAAAGAACTTTGTACAATGAAAAGAAGCAAAAATATCCAGGCGGAGATTTGAAACTTTGGCCTCAAAGGGTAAAAGTCCTTCCAGGGATATAGGAATAATTTAAAACTGGTATTAGCAGATCAAAGCTTTACAAAATCTGTGATCAGTACGAATATTGGTTGAAATGCAAATGTGAAGAACCGTTCCGCACTGAACGTAGATGACAATCAAGTGCTTCTAGTATTACAGAGCAAAACCCAGAGAGAGCCAGTAAGCAAAGATAAGTGAAAGATGTTTCCTTGCAACTGATTTATTACTTTCACACTAATGGGCAGTGCTTTTTTTTTCTTTCCTCCCTCTCTTCTTTGTGTTTTCATGCTGTATTACTCACAGGGGGCATAGAACATGACCAGGGCCGCAGGATGTTCCTCCAGGAAGCTGTCAAAGGACTCATCGGTCAGGTGGAAGACCGGCGAGTCCGTCTCCGACCACGGCACCTCCGGAGTCTTTGGCTGCGGGGGCCGAGGGCTGCAACACCACGGGAAAGAAGACAGCGTAAGGACACGGACCGGGAGCCATTTTACAAAGCAGATTAAATCCAGCTGGTCTGTTTTCTGTATGAACAAAACATGTAGATATATGTATAAAAGAGAAAAAGAAAAGAATCAAACACAGCTGTAACCTACACTCCACCCAATGTGTCAAAACACACACACACACACACACACACACACACACACACACACACACACCCACACACACAAACTAAGCGGCCCCATCTCGATGACAGGAACCAGTGCTGCAGCGCCAGAATTGAGTGGACAGTGATATAAACAATATACTCCCTGAACAAGTACGCAAAGAAAACATCATTTTAAAAGAAAAAAAAATGGTTTTCTTCAAAAACCACATGCGGCTGGACAGCATTTACAAACAAAAGAGTAATGTAACCGAAGCCCTCGAGTTCGACCGAAGCGTCCGTCTCACACTCGGCTCGGTCCTCTGAGTGCTGGACAAATATTCCCCGCATCTAAATATTTGGAGCCAAATATCAACATTTTAAGCTGTTTAATAAACAAATTCAAGATACAAGTTTTTGAAACTTGATCACAAAAAAACAGTGGGAGGAAAAGTTAAAGGAATGTAGCTTTTTTTTTAAAGGATAAAACTGACAAATTGCATTTGCTACAATTAAAGTAAAAATGGACAATTACCTGAAAATGTTAATTTAGCATAATCTATATAGTAATAGATTTATATCATACATTTGTGATTTGTGGAAAATTAGACCTCTGCAGTAGCTGACTGACTAATACCTGGTTGCCAGTTATAACTCTGAGCCTACTGACGTGAATCTTCACCAGTGCAGAGTGAGAGTCTGCATAGCGTAGAATGAAATTATATAAACTGGTATTCAGATGGGAGCTGCTTCCACTTTAATTACTCTCTAAGCCAGAAAAAAAAAAAGTCTGGAGGTATTTTCAAGGGTGACGTTTGCATTAGACTCAGCAAAAAGTCAAAAGTTCTGAATCGGTCCATAATTGGGCTGGAGAAACAAAAGCGAATCCATCAAAGAGGGGAAAAACTGGCTGAAGAGTCCAGAGGAAAAACGGCAGATCCACTGAGCGAGCTCAGCGACTGAAACGAGGCCGGGACGTGAGCTGAAGAAAACTGGGAAAAAAATGTACAGTATGCTGTGAAGAAACTCAGAAAGTAGACAATTTGCTTTCCTAAATTTACAAACCTGAAAAGATTTACAAGGTCAAATGCAGAGAGATCAATTCAAGGAAATGAACACTTCATGCATTCCAGAAGCAGAAAGTTAAGATCAACTTGTAGCAGAGTCACAAATAAAAGCAGAAGTAAAATAATGAAAAATGTGACAATGATCATTCTACGCTCCCAAAGCATGGGTCATTACAGTTTATTGGTGAAAACAGTAACAAAGGAAGCATCTGATCTTTTCACAGATGTACACAGGTTAATAAAAAAAAAAAAATCCTTATGAGTCTAAAAGTGAAAAAACAAAACAAGTCCTATCTTAACATGTCTGTTTTGCTTTTATTACATTCTGATTTTTGTACGCATTATTTTGTTGGACTTGTCGTTGCGTCTCCGGCGAGTGCCTTCAAGTGGTCGAATAATTTCTTGTATATAATTAGAAAGTGGGTTGAGTCATCAGCAGGAGCCAGTTATAACTCCGAGCCTACTGACGTGAATCTTCACCAATGCAGAGCGAGAGTCTGCATAGCGTAGCATGAAATTATGTAACGCTACCAGACTGACAAAGCAACGTGAGCGTTGTGAGCCAGAATGACTCAAAAAAGCCTGATTAATTCTGGCTTAGTTGCAGAAAAACCTGCATTTGCTACAATTAAAGTAAAAATGGACAATTACCTGAAAATGTTACTTTAGCATAATCTATATAGTAATATATTTATATCATACATTTGTGATTTGTGGAAAATTAGACCTCTGCAGTAGCTGACTGACTAATACCTGGTTGCCTAGATATGACTCAACGTAAAGTCTAGCTTTTCCATCGTGTAAAAACAAGAGTCTGGCATAATACAAGTCCAACAACACACAGAAGCATTCATCATCAACATAGTTTCAATTAGGAACTACATAACCTTTGTTCCTAAAGTAAACTGATTTGGCCCAGTAAAAAGCTGAAAAACTTGAGAAGGGAACTAAAATAAATAAAACTAAACTGCTGAATATGATGTTTCGGGAAACTTAATCAAAACATTGGGGAAGAGAGGAGGGAATGAAAACTAGAGGTGAAAAATAAGAGTGTTGTAAAAATCCTGTCAAGTTTATGAGTACAGTTTATATCAAAAACCCCCCGGTTTCAGCTTGCTCTCATCTCCTGCATCTCCAGGCAAAAAAGAAAAAAATCCTTTGAGATGACAAACAGCAAATGTGATGAGGTTTCCGAGAGGTCACATCCGTTCATATGCAAATGAATGATCTATTTTTAACAGGTGAGCTTCGGTAAATTCATCTGAAGGAATGTCTTCGCAGTGACAGAGGAATAATCACAGCCTTCTGGTTCAAAGTGGTCGAGTTATTTCTTAAAATGTAACGATAACAGGAATCCTAAACTTTTTCAACATGAACCTTTACATTTCTAAGATATTTTAAAATGTAAAATACACCCTGGTTTTATGGCAGATATTTACACAGTGGGCTTTAAATATGGGAACTGGAAAAACTGGGAGGTGAGAGGTAGGTTAGTTTATTGTATCCATGATTATTATCGAGTTAAATATGGTAGGATTTCTGTTAACTTCACTGTCACACAGCTGGGGCATTTTCAGGGAATTCTGCTTATAAATAGTTATAAGCAGAATTTCTTATAATTATAATTATCTAAAAAGTATTCGTTCAATACTTTTTAGAGTTAAAAAGACTAGCTAGTGCACCTGTGTCACATTAGATGTGTTTCCATTGGCCTTAAAATTGCAAAATTTAAATTACAAAACTAAATTAGCTTAATGGAAACACACTAATTAAAAAAACAATGAAATAACTTATTGTGTGAACAAACATATTCACATGTGCTCTTAATTGCCTTTGTTATTTCATGGAAACACCACAAAATGGT